CTCTGGGTGAGTCTGGATTTCCCCTGCTGGCTCCTGGGTACTGGAGGGCCACCTGCCCACAGCCACTTGAGCCTCTGTGGAGACCCCGTGTCTGGCTTGTTATGAGCTACGGTCTGTCCCTTGGGACCAGCAGGTGGCGTGGTGGTTAAGGGTGCCGGACTCCCACATGGCCAACCGCACAGGGACATAGATAGGTGTGCCTATCTCTCTGTCTCTTTGCCTCTCTCTCATGGAAGAAATGAACTTTACATAGGAAAGAAAGGGACCAGCAGATGGCATAGGGGTTCCATTGCTGGACTCCCACATGGCTGACCGCAGTTCGAGTCCTGGACCCAGAGGCTTGAAACTCACATGTGCATGTGTGCCCAAGATCCCGGGAGGGTGGAGGAGGGATTGTGGGGTGGCCATCCCCCAGGGGGTTGATTTTTTCACTTTTCCTCTCACTATCTCTGTCTCTCTCCAGTGAGTGTATGCGCAGTAAGGCAAAAATCTCTAAAAATAAATAAATAAATAAATAAATAAATAAGAAAGAAAAAGAGCTGGGGGGTGCCCAGAGCAGCCCCCCACACCCAAATTTGTGTTGGAGAACTGGCCAGCGAAGCCCTGAGAAGACCTTTCTTGGAACACTTTGCCTTGTGACATCCAGCCAGGCTGCAGGTCCAGGGGACTTGGCACTGTATTACTTTTGGGGGGTGTTTGTGGATAAACAGCCTCTGCTGCCCAAAGCAGCTGGTCTCCTTTCCAACCTGGACACATTTAAGAGACGCCACAGGGCCCAGTCTTCCAGGAAACTGCACACATGCCTGCATGGGACGGCCCAGCGGGCCCGGCGAACTGTGGGAAGAGGGGCTGGCGCAGGGCTCTGCCTGGCCGCTAGGCCAACCTTAACCTCGGGTGCTCTCTCCAGCCTAGTTAGGCCATAGGTGCCAGCACCCCCACCCCTAGGCCTGACAGTTCTCCCTTTCACTCAGAGGTGACCCTCCGGCCCTGACCCTGCACACTGACCAGTGGCAGCTGCTCCAGAGGCAGCCATGTGGGCCTCTTCAAGTGTCTGTCACCCCACACTTTTTCTGAGTACCTTTCCAGAGCTATTTGTGACAATCCAGCCTCGTGAACGCTTCCTTCGAAGGCCGTCAGGGCTCCATTTTGCGGGTGGATATAAAGTTCTGAGCCAGTAGATGGCGTGGAGGTTAAGGCGAATAGATGCCCCACGGTCGACTGCACGGTTCAAGTCCTGGACCTGACGGCTTGAAAAACATGCCAGGTGTATACCAAGTGTGTCTGAAATCACAGGAGGGGATTGGAGAAGGGACTGGGGTATGGCCATCCTCGAGTGCTTTCTTTTTTTTTTCTTTTTTTGGAGAGGTTGGGCACGCACACACACGCGCCCGGCGTGAGTTTAAGCCACCGGGTCCAGGGCTCAAACCATGGTCGACTACATGGGAGTCCAGTGACATAGCCATTATGCTAACTGCTGGTCCCTAAATAAGTCATTCCTTAAAAGAAGAAGAAGAAGAAGAAACGCTGTGTGTCCATTTGGCCACTCTGATCTCTGCTGAGCAGAGAAGGGCAGCTGCTGGCCCTTCACGAGTCACCGAGGAAACAGGACCACTCCCGGCTGCCCCAGACCAGAGCCCTCAGAGGCCGCCCACCCAGTCCCTGTGTTAGATGGTGCCCTGGGCACAGGCGTGCTGCCAGGGCCCGTCCTTCCCCAGGGCTCCGCTGTGTTCCTGCTATCAGTGAGGTGGCCGAGAAGGCACCCCGCAGGCCCGAGCTTACCTGCCACCCGGCTACGAGAATGCCTCCTGGGTGCCTGAGCAAGACCCTGGGCTCTCCCACCCTTTGGGCACCTCCCTGTCCTTGTCAGGGGAGCCTGGCTCGGCCGGGGACCTGAGAGCGATGGCCAGCAGATGTGGGGGGACCTCTGAGTACCCGAGCTGTGTACTGGGACGCAGTGTCCCCCGAAACTGGGTGGGCTGCAGAGGGCAAGGCGGGAGG